CAGGCAGCGATCAACGCCTAAAGCTCATTTCCCCCTCCGCCATCTGATGAAAAGGCCGATCGTATGGGACGATTCATGCAACTGTCGACCCTACACACAGTTTGAGGTCTGCAAGATTTGTTCACAGCAGACCAGCAGTACCATGAGGGGATCGACCGGGACGAAGGTCGCGCCTTGTGAAATATAATATAGACGCAAAACACATGAGTTTAGGTCCACGTCCCAATAATGACCTCTGAGGTGACAATGGAGAAATCTCTAGGCTACTTTTGGGTTTAGAGAAGGTCAGTAGCACATGAAATGATTACCTGCCCATAAACCACCTAGAACGGACTAATGGAAATCACAGAGGATCCGCAGAGCCGCAATAGTGGACAAAGTGAGTGAGTGAACAGTCCAAAAAGTGTTGAGAGGCTACGGTCTAGGCAGGTAGGATAATAGGCTATTTAAGAGAAACTATCAGAGAACCCCCCGGTCACAGTCCGCCCTAAATGCACCCATATGTAATTAACAAGATATAAAATGGGCAAAGTCCCTGAGAGAAAGGGGGTTTTTGTAATCTTTGAAGAAGAAAAATACAGTAACAAGTGGATGTAGCTCTTTCGTGATAGAGTGAACCACTATAACCTCGTGTGTTCTTTTTTTTTTTTAAAGACAAATTGATACATGTTCAAAATACCTTGAAAACAAACACAATCGGTTGCATAAATATGAGAATATAACTAGTTTTAGCCGGTAACCCAACTGATCATCGAGTGATAATTCAACGTAATCACGAAATTCCACCGTCAACAAGTGGCATCAACCTAGTTAAAATGTATTGCCTTCCTAAAATTAGTTGCGTTCTTTTTGTTAAAAAAAGGGGTTGAAATTGATTGATAATTCCTTTAAAAAAAATTATTGATGATAAAAACTCATAAGTATTGAAAATTGACTCAACAATTTTCAATACTTTTGATTTCTAACGACCAAAATTGCCAAATTAAGTCAGAATTTGAGGCGCATGTACTAATAATTTTACGTTCATCTTCAAGCAAAAGGCTTTTAATTTCATTTAAACGTGAAAAGAATTTTCTCCACAAGAGTAGGTTTCATCGTTCACGTGTGTTGTAATGTTGACCAATACGAAAACGACAACTAATAAGTTTTCTTAAAATCTTAAACTCCATTAATGCAGTAACAGTTCATCTATGAACTTGATATCGTCGGGAAAAAAATAAATAATAATAATAACAATAAAGAAAATCCCGAATGACCAAGATCGGACAATCGCGTAATTCAACTTTTGAGTGATTGACTTCCTACAAGAAAAAATAAAAAAATAAAAAAATAATAACAATAAATAAAGTACCTATAAAATGGAAAACGGCCTGATATGAATCATAGATTGATTCATATGATTATGAATGCACATCAAAACAACGTGCTAAAAATTTCGAAATTATTAAATGTGAAAAGTTCTAATATTGGTCCACAAGACGCAATATTGCATGTTCTATTCTATGTAGTCCCCAGAAGGAACTGACTAAAAATAAATACCACATAAAAGAGTGAACCGACCACTGCCAATCGCTTTTCCATTTTTTTTTAATTCACACACTTCATGTTTTCCACTTGTAACCTCTTTCCATTGTTACAAATCATCACTTATTTTGGCTTCTATAGAAACATATTCTAGTATGCAAATTGAGTCACGTTTTTGGATCATATGCAAAATTTCTATTAGTTTGGGTAACACTTTCTGGTGTATTTTATTATATGTGGAATTTTAAAATTATATGTGCATGGAGAATGGACATGAGTTTTGTAAACTTTACTACACAAAAAAGATTTTATCCAACGCGAACAAGAGAATGGTATGTAGTATTTTGTACCTTTTTCACTTAAACATAACGTCATAAATTAAAGTTTTTTTTTTTTTTCTCTCGATAAGATCTCATATCGATATTGTATGATTTTTATTGTTAGATCAAATCAAAATCATATTAAAATAAAAGTACACACAACAAACAAGTGTTGATGCGAATTTGACGACTAAAAACAATAATTTTTTTTTTTAAATCAATTTAGGTACTATCATAAAAATCTCTCCTAAATTAAGAAAAAAGTTGGCGGTGCTCAAGCACGTACAAATATTTGGGCTTGCAAAAACATGTTAATCGCGGAACGCATCTCCAACACTCAACTTTCATATACAAGATATGTAGAAAATTTTAGAGGTGGGACTTTTGCCCCAACTTCTCTAGCAAATGGTGGTCCAAAATAACCTTTTTGTAGGAGACCAAGTGGAAATCTTTTGAGGAGAAGAAAACGCTTATTAGAGATGTAAAGAAAAAAAAATAGAAGAAAAACGGAGTATGAAATCGATATTTACCTAACCGGACGGTGAAGAAAACGCTTATTAGAGATGTAAAGAAAAAAAAAGAAGAAGAAAAACAGAGTATGAGATCGATATTTACCTAACCGGACGGTGATCATTAGGGACAATAGTTGATAACTTCAGTTGATTTTTTTATTTTATTATTATTATTATTATTATTATTATTGTATGAATGCATGACTGCCCAACTTTAATCTTTGGGACGTTTATTCCACTTCAAAAATGTTATGGCCCACTTGTACTTAGTCACTTATCTACACTAGTTTCGTGAGAAAAAAAAAAAACCACTTTTTCTATATGATTTGCTGCTGAAGATTTTGGAAGATCTCATAAGATGGTGATAAATATATGTGTGTATATATACATATATATGTCAGTTTCTGGGCTTCTACACCGACCCCAAATCTTTTCTACAATGTACAACTTCACCATTGATCATTCTGTTTGGCTAATCATTACAAATCTGATTAGTAATCAACACAAGGAATTCAAAGTTCAGTTTTCAAAGTGCACCGCCTTGCACTTATCACGCGCAAAAGCAAGAAAGATATCATGATCATAGTTCAGTTTGTTTGCGGATAATTTTATGAGATGGCAAGAAAAATATATTACGATTAGACATAATTCTGAATTATACATTTTTTTAAGTTGTCATTATGAAGAAAAATATGATATATTATTAATGTGATTCGATGTTTCATAATTATCTCCTATTGATAAGATATTTCTTCATATTCTATTCGCGGACTTCTCTGTATTTGGAATTGTAAGTTGTAAATATACTAAAAAGATCGTTCACTAGTGTCAATTTGTGATCATAAAAAGCAGTTGTTTCTAGAGCAAAAGGAATTATATCATCAATGAGAAACAACTTTTTACCTTCATATCTTTATCAAAGTTCCTTTAAATTATCATATTTAATTTAATTTAATAATAATCTCATTAAATTTAATTGGCGTAAGAATTGGAATGCAAGACAGATGATGTAACTGCAAATTCTCTATAATTTAACTGGATCTATTCTATTTCCATGCAGGTATCTGTTTCACATTCCTCAAACCCAAAATCGTATACATGGATTTATTATGAACTATAGAAGTCCCAATTATAGTGAAGTTACAATTTCTTACCCGTATATATTTCAAACTAGCCAAACTAATTATTATACAGATAGTATTGGTTTAATTAAGTTTCTCTTAAAGATTATACATGAAATAACAAATTGAGAAAATGAATCTAGCAAAGGAAAGAATCGGAAATGGGATTCTAAAATGAAAGAAAGGATTTTTTTTTTAATTTATGCTTTTTGTAAGGCATAAATAATAAGATGATAAAAAACAATAGTTATTCTTGTAAATTTTTTCATTATCTTTTCCATCTCTCATCTCCTTCTTTTTCCTCTGAACAATAAGAGATTGAGCATCTCTCTCAATCCGAGTGTGTTTGTTGGTTGGAGGTAGAACCGTAGAGGGTCAATTTGTTGTTTGGTCAGAAGGAGAGGAGGGAGGGAGTCATTTCTGCCCACCAAATTGACAGTTTCAACTCTTAAGTACATCTTATTCAATATAAAAAATACTATCTAACCCTCCAAAGAAATTATTAATATATAGTAAAATGATCAATATGTAATTAGATACAATTATTATTCGCTCCTGCACATCCTTAGGCCTCGTTCAGTTTGTCGATTCGAGTTGAGATATGACTTTATATGAGAGCTTTTAATTGTAACAAAAAGTTAAATGTGACTGTTTCTAAGAGCTTTTAACTGTAACAAAACTGAGGTCTCGTTCACTTCACAGATTCGAGTTTTCAATTCGAACTGAGATGTGACATTTTTTTAGAGCTTTTTTTTACTGTAACAGAAAAAGTTAGATGTGACATTTTCTGAGAGTTTTTTACTGTAAAAATTTAAAACTGAAAACTCGAATCGGTGAAATGAACGAGGCCTGAAATTGAAAACTCGAATAAGTGAAATGAACGAAACCTTAATATTCCTCATCCTTTCCAGTTCTGTACATCTATCACACTCCTCATCCATACCAAACACCCTCATATTTTGTATTCTCTAGGGCTGCTGTTGATAGTCAATTTCCTTGCCTATTTGCTTTCTTCTGCCTTGCATGCATCATTAGTGTCAAATTCATTTCTTGAATTAAAAAAAAAAAAAAACAAAGTTTCCAAGTGCTTTAGATCACCGTCTGAAATCTTAATGCTAGCCTACAAAACGTGCCACAATTCATTTTTAATGGCAAGAAAAAGTTTATTACATATTTTACAGGACTTTTTCAGTAAGGTTAATTTCTGAATGTGAATCTAGTCAAAATCATATTAAATTAGATAATTATATCAAATAAATTATTTACAATACAAATTTAACGACTGAAAATAAAAAATTACTGATAGAGCATTTTTCTGATACTACCAGAAAAACTCCCATATTTTAAATTTTTAATCTGGTAATAATTTAACACCAATTGGCAACTTGTCTCGTATCTGCAAAATCACGTGGGCATAGATATGAACTACAAATCTAAGAATCTTCTCCTTTCTTTCTGAGTTGATAATATCCATATAAACATCAATTAATCAATCAAATACCAACTGTCCCGAGGCACATCAATTAAAAAGCAAAAATGGGGCAGGAGGTGCTACTCTCAACTCTGATTTTTTTTTTTCCTTTTCTTTTTCTTCTTTGACTTGTTACAAGAAGATAAACATTTTATATTACAACCACCAAAGAAGAGTGAGCAAGTTTCAGAAGCTGGTGTGCCAGATAGCTCCATCGCCCTCCCCGCAGCGCTGGTGCACTTCTTCCATCCTCTCCACCGATTTGCAAATGCCGCTGCAGCTCCAATCAAATGATGCTGCGCAAGCATTTCCAGCTTGGGCTTTCCACTCGCAATCTATTGGCAAAGGCTTAAAAGTTTCAGAAAGGTTGAAGATTTTTTTTCGACCAATATTTGAAAATCATATACCAGTGCAGTTCTGTTTTTAGGGGATAAAAAGTTTCATGTCAACATGGTAATGTCCCATGTACTGGAAAGGAATGTGATCCGTGTCGAAAGAGTTACGACACCCTCTGTGGTATGATAATTTTAACTTTGCAACGCTTCTTTGTTGAGAACAACAGATGGCTCGAGATAGGAAATTGGAATATCTGTGGAAAGTGATGGATTTACTAGTCTTAACGAAATTATTCCTAAGCGCTTGTCACACAGCCAAGTATGAAAAGCCTGAAGAGTACATATTTCTTGTTGGAGGTTGAAATAGATAATTAACATCTATCACCTATGAACTCACTAGAGACTTTTTGGCAATTATTGGCATAGTTTCAATGGATAAGTACCACGTTGCTCTGAGTCCGTGCAGTAACTAATCGAATATAAGTACTGAAAAGTCAAACTTGAAGAAAATCTGTATAAGCGGGGAAATATAAATGAATTAACAAGACTCTATGGTTGTATAATTCAGAAACCGGAAGAATATATTGCGAAGCGCTTACCTGGAGGAGTCCCACAGCAAAGGCTTCTGTCATCGATGTGCTCAACATCAAGACCAATAAACCAAGAACCCAGAGAAACATCTTCATTTGCATATCTATGAAGTATGTGCCTACAGAGAAAAACATCAAAAACATCAAGCATCAGCAGTTTCTTTGTTGTAGTAAACTACGCAAAGGCAATTCTGATACTGAAATTTTAATTCTTATAAATAACTTCAGAAAGTGATGCTCTTACAAAAAGGCTTACCGATTTACCGATATGTAAGTGGCCAAATCTTTGGAGAGTGCATAAATCTGCCCTGTTGCATGCCTAAAATACCTGTTTCCCTCCTCACCAAATTTCCAATATTCTGGCTCATGGTACTTGGCCCCCCTAACAAAGAGAGATATTAATATTGACTTAGATGATGAACAATGGTGTAATAAGAGAATAAAATTCAAATAATTTCACCGCTCACTTCTGTGTCAGGACAGGACCAGACTTCATGCAACCAATGTAAACGCGAGGTTTCGATCTATGGCGGCTCAAAGTAGAACCCACCATACCTGTCAAACATTAAAAACAATTCAAAACTACCGAAACTGCATAGCCCTATTTTATATTTCTACAAAGAGAGACAAGTAGGGTGCATAAACTAACCAAGATTTATGTGAACATCATCATCAACTTTGATAAAGAAGTCAGCATCCCATTTAGCAACAGCTGTTGAGAAATATATTTGTGTTTTTGAGGACAATTCATGATAGCCTTCCACATGGTTCTGCAGACAAAAAGAAAGAAGTGTATAAGCTTCGTCAACATGATTTGATCAACGGCTAATAGAATCCTAGGAAGAATTTCAAAAATTGGTTCCTATAAATTGCTCTATAATATAATGCCCTGCTATAATCTTCAAACAAAAGCAACTCTCACTGAGCGTGTTGAAATTTATACTTAATCAGATACCTACTACAAAAAAATCCTTAAACAAGAGATACCATATAAAAACTTGTTAAGTATGCAACATACCAGTCGCAAAAAATCCTTATGCTGAGCTTCTTCTGCATCAATGGCACGGTCTAAAACGCCACCTGGAGTTGCGCTGAAAACACAAAATTGAAAGCATTACACCTTTGGGTTAATTCTGAAGTTACAAAAATCAATTAGCCAGATTCTGTTGCAATCCCAAGTAAACCTACCTATGTCCAATAACAAACCGTATTATGATTCCCTTCTCTGTCTCCAACCTCTTTAACTCATCTCCTAAAAGAAGGTAAAGCAACAAGCTTATTTCGGCAGCAACACCAATTATTTAGGTAAAATCTTAGGCATCAGGTTTGGTAATAAACCTTGAGGCATCCACGTGTCTCTAATCGAGCCCCTTCGCTTTCTACTACTAAATGCAGTAATGATTCCCATAACAAAGAAAACCTTTGGCCGCTCCTTGAATATCTCTGTTCCTGGTTTTGTAACAGATGGAGATCCTTCGTCGCTGTTGTCAGCTTTTGCAGCTCTGGCTGCAGCTAGCTGCACCTCTAGTGAGGAGATTGTTTTATCTAGTGTCCTGAAAGCATTTGCGACATCAATGTTTAATACAAACTATTTTAATAATAAATGGTAAACAAACAAATTTACAAGAGTGTAAATGCTTGTAAGTTCCACCACAGATCATTAAAACAGTAACAAGACGGGGATATGTAATTACATGATCACATCGTGTGTCTGTGAAACTTGAGAAAGGATGTCTCCCACCTGATCAGAAGCCTCCTGTAAAAATTCACAACATTTATCAGCAAGAATTATCACAACAATAGAGCTGACGAAAACATCATCACTGTAACTTGCCTTTTTATCACAATTAACTATGGGATGAATGGCTCCTGATTGATGTTTCTTGATAGAGGAAGCCTCCTCCTCATCCATTTTGACTGTATCGGGGACGTCCCAAAACCTAAAAATACATGAAATTCAAAGCTAATCCAATTAGAACGAAAAAAGAAGAAAATGCATGCAACAAAGAAAGAGGAGCACTAACCAACTTATACAAGTGAAATGTTACTAAATTTACAGGTTACACATGCATGTAGAAAATAAGACACATGGGATATCACATTAACATATTTCATGTCTCTGGCTGTTAACTAATAGACATATGCAGTTAAATGACAATTGACATCCATTCCCAGACGAATAGTTGGCGTTAAGCATATGGAAATGCTTCATTCATGTTATAGGAACTTCAACACTCTAAAAGTTCACAACAGTCGTACTTTCTATATTACGGACTCCTTAAAATATCCAACATGTTTTGCACATTTGTGACCTGCAATTTTCAACCACAATGCATTTGATGACACTTTGGTAGGCTAATGCTGATTTTGTTGCACAAACTTTTACTACAAACATTATATAAGGCAGGAACTCGTTTAGTCATCGTAGAACACAAAGAAGCCGGCCCAGCCTCAGCCCATATTGGTTGCTGAAATAAGAAATGGACTGTATCTACATACCAGCAAGCAGAAGGTTTCATATCACCAACCAAGCCCTTGGAAATAACCATTTCATGCATGAACTATTCGGATGAGAAAACTCAGAGTGTTGTTAGCGAACAAGCACATGTAAGTCCCCTAGTATTTACTCTTTTCCTTTGTTCAAAGCCAACTAAATGAGCTTTTTAAGACCAAACTTTTTAACACCCAAATCCAGAAATTTGCAGAATGCTGCGATCGAGCTCAGTTGACTCACCACCCAAAGCTCATCTCAGCATCAAATTTCCAAAACGAAAGTTCAGAAAAGAAAAAAAAAAAAAAAAAACAGTTCAAACTTTCTTTTCTACAACAGCTATCTCATTTCGTTTCAAAGAATCTCAATATGGGATTTCTTTTTTTTTATTTTTTTTAATTTTCACTTCAAGAGGATTTCTTCAGCCAATGCCATTCAACTTAAATTCTGAAACTTGAAACTGCACAAAAAAGCACAAATGCTCATGTTATGTAATATATTCACTCCATACTTTCCCAAGAATCCAACAGATCATATATGATACAACATAGTAAGGTCCTTATCAAGCACGGCCTCTCAGCAGTAAAGGTCATATTACATAATTACATATCTTGATATGACCACAATGTAAGTACTCTTTACCCAATCAAAACTACTGAAAAAAAAACCCCCAATCTGAAACAAAAAGACCAAAACTTTACACACGGATTGCGATAATACAAAAAGGGTTTAAAAGAAGACACATGTGCAGTTTATAACACAAAGTTTACGAGATTTTAAGACCCAAATGAAAAAGAAGCAAATCTATAAGCTGATTCAGTATAAGTACATAAGATCCTAGAGAGAGAGAGAGAGAGAGAGAACCTGTTAACGACAAGAACGCCCAAGAAGAAGCTGAGAATGCAAAAGAAAGACACCCATCTGGTGGAAACTCCATTGCCAACCTTGTGAGGTCTGCTCAGACCCATTTGAGTTTAGAAAGAGAAAAGGCCTTCAGTTTTAAGAAAGCTTCCTTCTTTGAACTCAGGTAGAGAGAGAAAGTTTAATGGATGATTAACGTTTACAAAGAGGAGAGAGAGGCGGATCCCATCAGAGAAAAAGCAACAACAACATCCAAAACCATTTCATATAAAAAAAATAAAAAAATAAAAAAGAAAATAGTCCCATTGATATGTGAATGGAAGAAATAAAGTTATATATAAATGTAGTGGGAAGAGAATAAAAAAGGACGAAAGCAATGCTTTTTGATCTTCCTCAGCTTTCACAACTCAAACCCACACTGGCTTCCGGGGAAATGGGCTGTGCTTTGTATTATATTCCCACTTCATTCATAGTTTTGTTTTGTCACGAGAAATACAAGAAAAAAAAAAAGTAAAAACAAAAATAGGAATAATAATTGGAAATGACAAACGTCACGACAACTTTTTAGCTACCAATAATGCCCCTTTATTCTCAAGCAATGGCTGGTGTCTTGAGCTTTTTTTTTTTTTTTTTTTTTTTTTTTTTTTTTTAAATGTTTTTTTTTTTTTTTTTTTTTTTTTTTTTTTTTTTTTTTTCTTTTTAACAGTCGTTATTATTACTTTTTCATTTAGAATTTTTTGGCACTATATAAAAACAGGAAAAAAAATATATTTTAGTTGGTTTTATTTTTTGTATTCTACTTTTATATTAAAAGTTTTTTTTATTTAAATCTTGATACCTTTGTAATTTGGAATTCATTTATAAATTCTCTCTTAAACGAAATGCCGAATTATGTTAAATATATCTCTTTATCTCTTTTTTTCTTTAATTTTTAATATTTATGTGTTTGTTTTATAAATTTAAGTTACTATATAAATTTTTTTATTATAGTATTTTTCTTATAAAATTTAAATTTTTATTTAAATATATAAATTAAACGGACTTTACGGATATTTTTTTTTTCCAGTGATCTTTATTAAATTACACTAAATCATTATTTTTTATTTAATTTGAATTTACCCATAGGATCGTTTTCTTTTCCTGTGAAATGTAGGGGTTATTCTTTTACAGTGAAACTTAAAAAAAATTTAAACTCGAGTTATAATTTTATTTAAGTTCATCTTCTTTTGTAAAATTTGAGTTTAAATTCGAGTTTGAACTCGAGTTTGGGGCTAAACTCGAGTTCAAGTTTCTTTTTTAACTCGAATTCAGGTTAATGAACAAAATATTTTTTCTATTATTAAAAATGTAATAACTTTTTCGTTTTAATTCTGGATTGAGATGATTTTTTTCTATGCATTCTCAACGAAAAGACGAATAAAACCGCACCCACATACCCTATTAAAATTTTTCATCACTATTGAGTTTTTATTAATATACTATATAAATACAAATTTAAGTTTTGGCCCACCTAAATACAAACTCAAAAAGATTCACAATTCAAATTATAACTCAAATGTGTACATCCAAACACAAACTCAAATTACAACTTCAACTCAAATTATAACTCAAACTCAATTCAAGATGCGGCATGTTTATTTCGTTGATTCGAGTTTTTAATTCAAGTTAAGATGGAATTTTATGTGAGAACTTTTTATTATAGCAAAAAAGTTAGGTGTGATTGTTTATGAGAGTTTTTTACTGTAACAAAACTCAAATCAGCGAAATGAACGGAGTATTATCCTAACTCGAATATGAAAAAAACAACCCCATAGAGTAATCCAAAAGCTATACCCAACCCATGACTGCTTCAGATCACACATAATTATAAATTTACCCAATATGGCGAAATTGCATTTAAGCAATTATCCATTTTGCTTCTATAATTTTGTTTTTTCTTTGGGAATAAGATTCATTCAATCAGGTGCTGAGCAATATCACTTTTTATTGTCCCCAATCTGTCAACCTCCCTCACTGATTTATTATTATATTTTAAGGGCCAAACCAAAAGGTTTTATTTCACAACACGATTTCGACAATCTCAAACAATTATATATATGTTTAGGTGGTGGGTGTTATTTACTTAAGCCATCTGCTTCCTATTTTCTCTTCATAAGTTGCTAACTTCTTATTTCTCCTTTTGCTTAATGTTATTTTCTTTTTATTATGGGAGAGTATACAAAATTGGGTGTGATTATTGTATTGCAGTTATACGTTTATTAGATGAGATGGTTCTAATGAAGTAGGTTTAATTATCAACTAATTAACAAAGCCTCATATCAATAATGTTATAGAGTATGAAATCTCAATATTAAAAACTTATCATTTACATCAACATTTTTTTGGGCAATTTCTGAAAGCTAATTTTCTCATTTGTGCCAATCAATAATTTGTAATAAATCAATGTGCTTAAAATTTAAGAGAAATTCTAAAATACTCAAATTATTAACCGCAATCAGATAATCAAACGGAACTTATGAAATGAGTATAAATGTGTTATTCAAAACATTTTCTTACCGTATCTAACTTTATATCATTACCATCATATATATTGGTTTTTTTTAGAATATCGTATATATTGCTTTCAATCATATAATTGTAATAAATGATTCCATATTATTTTATTATTGAGAAAAACTTGTCCTAGACTCCATCTAAAGAAAGAGATTGTTAAGTGCGTCAAAGTTGGGGGCTCAATGTGCAGGAAATACGTGCAACATTCACCATTGTAAAACAAATTGTTTTTGTATGTACCCATCGATTTGATTTTTTTAATCCCTAAATTGGTATTAAATCAATTAAATTACAATAAACTTTGGAACAAAATTTATACAACATTTTTAACGCTGTTGCACACGCAAACGGAAGAAGATAATATATTTTCTAGAAGGGTTTGAAAAACTCAAATTTGGATTGATAAAAAAAGAATTTATTTTTCCTCTAAGAAAAATGAACTGTCTAAAGAATATTTTCAAATAATCAAATAATTGAAGCAACATACAATTGACAAGAGCATCACATTTGTGCCCATTATCTTTACTACATAAAAAGGACATTTGCATATTATAGAGACAGAAATAACGTTACAACCGACTCTATAAAGATAACGAAAGTTGAAAACCCAATGACATGAAATTAAAGAAAAAGGCCAAATACATACTAGTTGTCAGTTGTGCCCCCTTTGCCATTTTGTCTTGTGAACTTCCTACACAGGAGAGTATTAACAAACAAAAAGATTCCAAGAGGCTTAACTCAGTTTGTTGATTTGAATTTTTAATTTGAATTAAAATGTAATTTTATATGAGAGTTTTTTCTGTAGCAGAAAAAATTAGATGTGATATTTTATGAGAACTTTTAACTGTAGTAAAATTAAAATTAAAAACTCGAATCAATAAAATTCTCGTTCGGTTCACTAATGTGAGTTTTTAATTCGAGTTGAGATGTGATGTTGTGTGAGAGCTTTTTACTATAGCAAAAAAGTTAGATGTGCCTGTTTCTGAGAGCTTTTTACTGTAGTAAAACTCAAATTCTAAACTCGAATCAACGAAATGAACGAGCCGATATAGTAGAAATACTTCTTACCACAATTATCACATCTCTCTATTTTTTTTTTTTAGGGAATCTATGGGCCCGTTTGTTTGCGTTTTCATTTTCATTTTTCACGGTTTTCAAAGCAAAAAAATGAAAACGGGTGTTAAAAACGTGTTTGGTGCAATTTTTTTTTAAAAACAAAACCAAAAACGTTTTTGTCTTTTTGTGGAAATCAGAAAACGAAAAAAAGGTGTTTTCATTTTCTCATTT